TAGTCTATTAATTTTATACCTAAAAGCACCACATATGAGAGAAAAATTCTCTCGCTCAATTATTAGTCACTTAGCTTATACTTCCTCCATTTTTTTAGTTGCAATATTCTCATTTTCACGTTTGTCACCGCACAACTTTGACCGTCATTATCTTAATTTCACTATTACTATGTATTATTTTTTAAATTTTTTGAGAATGCATATTTGTAAAAAAAAATTAAATTCACAATTAATTTGTTTTGAAATTAGAATTACTATTTTTTCTCATTTTTCCTTTTTATAGCTGAATGCTACGTGAAACCAAAAGACTAAATGTTACGTATGTAAGTAAATAACAAATTAAATATTGAACATATAGTATACGGAGAATTACAACTGTACATACAAATAAGTAATTATATGAAGTATCAGTGTCATATAAAAGAAGAAAAGATAATAAAAAGTTACGGAGTATTAATTTGAATACTTTTTTGGAAACAGTAGAATGCAAAAAATAGAGAGAATTTTCTCATCTGAATTGGAGAGAAATTTTTTTTATAGACTTTCAAAAAAGTGAGAATTTTATCATCTAAATTGTCTATGTGTACGCTTTTATAATCACTTTGATATAATTTTAAACATAATTATAGTCACTAAAAATTTAAATAAGTCATATCATTATTCATTATTCATATTTCGTACATAAATTGGGAAGTTTTTAGTTTTTTAATACGGAATATTCTGCATAGAGGACGGAAAATAGAAAGTTGCTTAATAAATCTTCAGATTTTGTTTAAAAAAAATAATGTATGCATTATTGGTGTCATATGAAACATCGTGAAAAATTATGAATTTTGGTATATTTTTTATAAAAATCGGAAAAAAACTGAAAAAGTTACAACACTTTAAAGAAATGGAATTTTTATACAACGGGCCCCATTAATTAATTGATGACACGTTTTTTTAATTTGAAATACAAAAATCCTCACCTTCGTTGATTAGCCATTAGTGTTGGTTGGTATATTCCGTTTAACTCCTTGAGTTGGCCACGTGGACTTTTGTAGAGGAAAGGAGAAAATTTTGGAGAGAAAGACACATATGATTCATTAAGGATATAATTGTCATTTAATGAGCTATTTCTTTTCTTATATACAAATAGATTTAATTTGCTCCGGGTTTGTACTAAAGTTTTTTTAATTTAATTGCTCCGGGTCCGGGTTTGTACTAAAGATCGCGCAACAACTTAATCGTAATCGCGCAGCTGTACTTTCACGCAAGAAGAAATCACGCAGGCCTTGTTGGAATCGCGCAACTCTGTCTTTGCGCACGTTCGAACAGATCGCGCAATACAACACCTGAGATCGCACACCTAAATTAAATCGTGCAACCCGCTGTTCTCGCTAGGGAAGATCGCGCAACATGCTGAAGGATTTTTGCACACCTGCAAAAGTTTCGCGTAAGCTCCAAGTTTGGCGCAGGGTAGCTTCCGCGCAAGTGTGAATCGCGCAAGTGATACTTTCGCGCAGTGTCGGCTTCGCGCAAGAAAAATCGTATCGCGCACGAACACCTTTTGCGCAACTCAAACAATCGCGCAAGGTGTACTTTTCCTTCGTTCAACCTGTTAATCGTGCAAGTCTTGTTAATCGTGCAATTCTGAAATGGGGCAACTCCAAATCACTCAAGTCCTGTTCGCCCAAGGGAGTAATCGCTCAAGTAGAGTTGCGCGAAGATGCAGGATCGCTCAACTCCTGCTTAACCTGTACGCCAAAGTTCTGGATGCGATTTTTCACAGAATGAAACCTTGCAAGCCTAGAAACACTTTCTCGTAGACATTTTTCTGCAAAAATAACACCAAAAATAATATACAAGATCGCGCACGAGGTAGAAAAGTGCCGATGAAAAATCGCGCAAATCCTGTTCTTCAACTTCAATCGATCGATCAATAGCAGAAACTTCAATCGGTCACACGCTCGGCTCTGATACCAATTGTTGGTCCCTATTTCTACTCTATAATATATAAGATCTGATTAATAGGAGTAGAAGAAGCTTTCCATTGATAGCCAGAAAGTTTACACAAAGATGGTGAGAAATGTTAGCGTAAAACTTCCGTAGGCTCTATTCTATGCGCAGGGAATTTTTCTAAGGGAGGAAAGCTTAACCTAGCCATTCCTAAGGGGTCTATTTATAGCCTCCTTAGAATGGTAGGTTTTACAATGATATGGGCTCTCCTTTTTAGGAGGCCCATTCCTAATTTAGCTTAGTAGCCTTTTCCATTTAAGGCCTATTAAATACACAATAAATACTACCAAGAGGCTAGATAAAATACATTGATCACAACACTAAAAATATCTCTAACAATATTACATTAAAATAAATCTAAACTACTTTTCTTTGTTTTAACGAGTTTTTTCCCGAAATAATGTTAATTAAATAAATAATTCCCAAAATACTGTTGGGTTAAAAATAATTCCCAAAATACTTGAAGTGGTGGCTCTTCTCTTACAGTACAAAAGCCGCCACTTCAAGTGGCGGCTCTTCTCTTACAGTACAAAAGCCGCCACTTGAAGTGGCGGCTCTGCTCTTACAGCACATTTTGTACATATATAAAACGCAGTATGTTTCAAGAATTTTTTTTAACTATCTTCCCGATTAAATTTTGAGCTGAAACTTTGTATGAATAGACTAGACTTGATGAGGAACATGCTCAAAAACATTTCATCAAAAAATTCCACTGGGAAGACCCTCTGATGGTGTTGTCTGCACGGGGGTTCCGGTCAGAACGTCGTGACAGGAATTGGACATTTTTTTATGAAATTTGAGATGCTTCCGAGTTGATTTTGTTGATGAGTATAATGATTTTCTAACAATAAATAAATCCCGGAACCGGCCCGGAACCGCTGCCTACCCGGGCCGGTTCTCCCTTCCCCAAAAAAAAGCTCGGTCGGGCCAAGGCCCGAACTGAAACCGGCCCGGCCCGGGTCCATACTACTCCACCCTGACCCCATCCCCCAACCCATTCCGCCCCAGCCCCTTACCTACCCCATACCCCTTTACCCCCTACTACCTTCCTCTAACTCGATCCCACCCGACCCCTACCCATCCTACCCTACTTACCCCACCTCCACCCCACCTCGTACCTCTTCCCTACTCTGACCCCACCCTTTTACCCCTACCATCCACCTGCCCCTACCTCGACCCCATCCCCCCACCTACCTTAACCCCCTAGCCCTTACCACCCCTAACCAACCCCCCTTACCCTACCCCTTTACCCCATACCACATGCCCCTAGCTACCTCGACCCGACCCCACCCCTAACAGGTAGGGGTTACGAGGGGAATAGGAGAAGAGGGTAAGGTCGTGGTTAGAGTAGGGATAAGGAAGAGGTAGGGGTTAAGGTTGTGGGGGTAGGGTAGGGTGGGGTAGGGGTTAGGGTACCTCCACATATTATGTTATGTACTTGTGTTCATAAATGTTTATGTGTCTATATATGTATAGAGTTATTTTGGACATTTTAATGTTAAAAGGGTGTTTTAAATCTTTTGAAGTAAACATGTTCTTATTACTAACACTGCTTAATTATGCGTCGCTTATTAATGCGAGTTTTAATAAACACCGTTTAGTGACCCGTGAAGTAAACTTGTTCTAAAAGTTGTCAGCTATCAATGAGCCAGTGATAAAACTTAATTGAATCTCGGATTTTAGTATGATGATATTATCAATGAGCCATAGGTGAACCGTATATTTCTCGAAAAATTTCACCAAGAAGACCCTCTGATGGTGTTGTCCGCACGAGGGTTCCGGTTAGGACGTTGTGACAGGAATGAGACATTTTTATGAAATTTGAGAGGCTTCCGAGTCAAGTTTTTTGATAAAATTTGGTGATCGTGTTCATCCTAAAGTGTAGGTTATGTCCACTGAATTTCAGATTAAAATTAAATCAGAAGTTAGTTAAATAATTTATTGAAAAAAGCTGCATTTTTAGGCCGAAAAAATTATGCATTTTTTAAAAATTTATTTAACTAACTTCCCGATTGAATTTCAATCTAAAATTTGGTGGACATATCTACATTACATGGGAACATGCTCACCAAATTTTATCAACAAATTCGACCGGGAAATAGCTCAAATGAAATAGGCCTAAAATTGCAACTTTTGGACCTACTTTACATGAACATTTTCAGAAGGCACGTGACAAAATTTTTGCCGAGAAAATTTTAGAAATTATGCAACTAAATCGTTTGGTATGTTAATTCCCGGAAGCAATATTTTATAATTTCTTATTGTTTCATATTTGTTGATAATTTGCCCATAAGTCATCACTTGAATAACAGTCTGTGTGTTCATTTATATCGTTTGTATAGTCTAAACTCTAAACATTGTCTGGCTTGTAATTGTGACATAATTATCACTTGAAGGACTATGTATGTATGCGCAGTTTGGGAGGGTTGGTTCAGTGGTTCTGCTACTACATGAAGGGTGCGATGTGTTCATGGAGACTGCAAAGATGTCCAGATACAGTGGCTTCTATGACATGTGATGTTTTATTTCTGGGGTTTGTGTTATTCTAGATCTTAGGCCGCCTCATCCTTTTCCCCTTTTGGGTTCTAAAAGCACCAGGTCCATCACTCACAATCTCTCTGTATATATTCCGTTAACAATACTATTTTTGACGTTTTTCTTTTCGCGTTTTTGTGCTAATTACTATCGGATTGTTGTAATATTGTTGCAACTCATATCCCGTTGCAGCTGCAACATAAGATTTTGTATTTTAACTAGTGAAATCGTTTTTCAGTTAAGAAGTGATTTTCATCTTAGACAAGGATGACCATGGAGTAAGTGGAGTGATATGTTACATTTTGTTTAATGCTCTTCTCTTTGCCTTGCTGCTTCTTCATATCTACTGGTCCAGATTGATCCTAAAGATGGTTGTAGGGAAAATACAGCACGGGCAGATTGGTGATTATGCACGGTCTGGTAAGAAATATGATTGAATGAATGAATAAGTAAATAATCAGAAAACATTATGGAGTATAAGACTTCGGTATATACAAGAAAGGTGACAGTTTATCCAGTTTTGCAATCATATACGAAGCATACAAAGTAAATCACTCAAACATATGCATTTGTATTTTAATGAGTTAATGACTCAAATCGGACTTATTGCAAACTTTATTGCACATATAGGACTGCTTACGAAAGTAGAGTTTCATAGGACTAAAAATAGCTTTAATGGACAAAAACACCCCTGTTATAATATTTCATTTAATGATTTAGGAGGTATTGCACGGTGCACGAAGCAAGGCTTGTGAGTCGAAATTTTGGGTAGCCGCAAATGGAAAACCACCCCTAGCATGCGCAGCCTGCCTCTGCCCATCCGCCTCGCCGCAGCCTCCCACCGGCGTCTCCATCCTTGGCAGGCCCACCAGCATCGCCATCTGCCACCACCGTCACTGTTCTCCGATGTTGCCGACTTGCCGCCACCCCATCGTCATAGTCGCGGTTGCCACTTTGGTCACCATCACTGCCTTATCAAAATTGCTACCAGTGTCAATTTCAGCACCACCATCACCGCCACAACTCCGGCGCCATATGTCTACCATTAACTTGACAGATTTAGCTTAATTACAAATCTGCCAATCCATTAAAAATGAATTTTCAAAACTGCCATAAAGTTGGCAGATTTATCTTGCAGATTTATATAAAACTGTCATAATCTTGGCAAAATATGAAGTCAACAACTAAAGGTTCAAAAAATCTCAAATTTTAATGGAACAATCACTATAACAAATTCACCTCAATCACAAAATAAGAAATTAATGATAAAAATTAGAAAGATCAGAGTTTACACAAAAGCTCTTTGCCATAATATGATTGTTAATGTACATTTCTTGCATAAACTTGGCAGATTTATCTTGCAGATTTGTACGAAACTGCCATAATCTGGCAAAATATGAAATCAACAACTAAATGTTCAAAAAATCTCAAATTTTAATGGAACAATCACTTTAACAAATACACCTCAATCACAAATAAGAAATTAATGATAAAAATTAGAAAGATCGGAGTTTACACAAAAGCTCTTTGCCACAATATGATTGTTAATGTACATTTCTGCAATAAAGTTGGCCAAATGTGATGCCATCATCCATAAAAATCAGAATATCGTTTTGTTTTTTTGCAAATTAAGAATCCAGAAAACAGTATTATGAATTAGAAGTCTAAAAATCAACAAGTTGAATGTCAAAACTCAAAATAGCATAGGAATAGAAGGAAAATCTGAAAGATCAATATCAAAACCCGAAAAATTGAATAACAGGCGGATGAGTAGGAAGAGGAAGAAGGAGGAGGGGGAAGAAGATGAAGAAGAAGAAACCTGACACGCGGCGGCCTGCCGCGGAGCCAACAACGGTGATGGCTTGGGATGAATTTGACGATGGCGTGTGGACGATGCGGTGAAGTCGATGAATTGATGCGCAGAGGAGAAGAGCTCGTTGGATCTGATTCATATGGGAGAAGGGAGAGAGGCGGTGAGGATGTAGTGGAGAGGTGTTGTACGTGGTCTAAAGCAGGAGTTGAGTAGTGGATTAAGGCAGGGATATAAATGTGATGAAAATTGTCTATGTTTTCAAATGAGAGTAATATGATCCTATTTAGGGAAAAAACTTACATGGTCCTATTTAAGAATTTCTCATGTGTTTTACTCCTATTTGAGACAATTACTATATTTTAATTTGTAGATAATGAAAGTGATGAAGAGCACGAAGACTAATAAAGTAATAATGATCAACAAATGGACTAAAATAGTGTTTGGGGTTGCTTAAAAAAACACTTTTCAACTTTTGGCTTAAAAAAAGTTGAAAAGAGTGTTTTCAAATGACAGCTTTTGTTTAAAATAATCACTTAAAAGCTAAAAGCTGGAAGCAGGTAGAAGGGTGCTTTAAACTGCTTCTCACTTTTTCTATTACACAAAAATTACTTATTTTACCAAACACTACCAACTTTTACTTTTTCAGAATCACTTTTTTCTCAAACACTACCAACTTTTACTATTAATCACTTTTCCCAAAATCACTTTAAAAAATCACTTTTTTAAAGTTGAAGCAATTGCAAACACTCCCTAAAGTTGAAGGAAAGTCAACGGCATTGTTTCCTTCCTTCCAACATTATACATTTTCGGAAATTACATTCATCAGTGAATTTTCTTACAAATAGCTCAACGCCATGTTGACGTGTAGGTAAACAACACAAGAGAATAACAAAAATATAAAGAACCTATTTGGTGACTTAGTTTTTCATCTTATCAATCAATTGTTTCACCATACACGTAATTTTTAAATTCGCACACTAAATTGTGTAATAATAAAAATAAATATGATGAAATTACTTTTCTGACTAAATTATTGAAACTATTGTAAGTGAACATTTTAGCTATTTTTTCATATATTTTTTTTTATTTATTTCATTAATTAATAAAATATATCTTAGATTCCCCCCATAAATTAGCAAAATCAACCACTTTAACCAAAAGTTCATAAATCTCAATAGAACCAACATATTCACCCAATTTCACGATATTACAAAATGGGCTCATAGTCATGTGCCATAGCCCATAGCCATTATCTGTGCCATGGCCCATAGCCCATTGTGAACTTTTATACTAGTATACTATGGGAGTGTTTGCAATTGCTTCAACTTTAAAAAAGTGATTTTTTAAAGTGATTTGGGGAAAAGTGATTAATAGTAAAAGTTGGTAGTGTTTGAGAAAAAAATGATTCTGAAAAAGTAAAAGTTGGTAGTGTTTGGTAAAATAAGTACTTTTTGTGTAATAGAAAAAGTGAAAAGCAGTTTAAAGCACCCTTCCACCTGCTTCCAGCTTTTAGCTTTTAAGTGATTAATTTAAGCAGAAGCTGTCATTTGAAAACACTCTTTTTAACTTTTTTTAAGTAAAAAGCTGAAAAGTGCTTTTTTTTAATCAACCACAAACACTCCTGACACATACATTGCATCAACACAGATTTATTTCTCTCAAGTCTCAATAGTCATCATTTTTTCATCTCCTATATCAATAGCAACATTAGTAGATGTCTTTCCCCGGTAAGATTCAACAAAAGGAAGGCTTGGTCAGCTCTTTTTTTGTTTTTTTTTGTTTTTAGATTTAATTTACGTTCCAGAAACATGCGCGTCAGGATCAGTAATACAGCATTCGTGTTTGCATATTGTGCCACATTTTCACTATATTTTTACCCACGAGTACACGGCCAAAAATGAAGCAGGTCACTTAACATGCCAATACCCGCCTAAATTTGGAGAGAGACTTCGTAGGGAGTAGCCATTGACAGAGTTGTGCATCATTCATTAGCTCACAATCAGAACAAGCTAAAGATCATTCGGTGTCTTCACATCATCCAGAAATTGTGTAAGGTCTTCAAGTTTGACATTACAGAGACCTACAAGTAAATGGCGATGAGTAATGAACATTCTTAGACTGCTTAAAGAATTGCATATCGATGAGCCAATGAAAAATGAAGATAACTTGCCAGAATGGTCACCATAACCATGATAATTCAGACGAAGCTTATCATCATCATCATCCAACTTGCGAATTTTCTCTGCTCTTTCGTGTTCAATCTCAGTAGACATTTGAGTTACCCTTTTCTCCAAGGATGATCGGAGCTCCGATGCAGTTGTTACCAGCTCTGAAAAACACAAATTTATGATTTATAGTACAAATTTTTACTTCCTAGTTGGGTTCGCAATCTGCTAAAGAGCTCATACAACCAATGACCATTAAGAGCATTTAAAAACTGACTTAATAAAAAATATGATTTATGCATTCGGCCAAAAATATGAGTTCGTTTAATCACAATATATGATTTAAGCTCCAATATATTACTCACTCCGATTAAGACGCTCATTCAGACAGTTTTTATTAAAGAAGCCTATGATTTAATATATGTGTGGTAATAACTAATATGTAAGATTAAACATTAACAAGAGGCAACACATAAATAACCTTAAGTTAGTACTTTTACTATTCTCAGACTACTTATTTAGCAGTTGACACACTAAGTAAAACAACCCATTTGTCCATTACACATGACCACTTAACTCAGATAGACATCATAGTCCCGGACTTAGAATAAAAGAAGTAAACAGCCCCTAAGGTCCCTTACAGAATGCACTGGCCATCTATGTCTTATGAACCTTAAAGTATTCCAGTCCTCCAGGAAATTTGACAAAGTTGGGGATGGATTGCGAAACATAATATGAAGAAAATACAAACTAAGATCTCTGACTTTTCCTAAAACAGTTATCCCAATTTAGAAAAGAGTTATGTTCTAAGAGCATCTGAAGACAGGACCATTAGATAAGTGTTTACCTGAAAACTTCTCATGGAAACCCAGTTCATCACAGAACTGTATCACTTCGTTAAGAGAAGCTGCAGAGCGTTTATTCTTACTAGACTGCATTTCCAATGCCTGAAGTTCTTTATTGAGGTCAGTGGACTCTTCAACTACCTGATCAGATAAACAACATAAATAACATATGCAGCAATAATTGTTACCAATTTACCATGTATAAATAATACAATAATCATAGTGTTCCTTATCCTCTTAAGAAATCGTATAGTCAAGCACCTGAGCGAGTTTGCTTCTCAAGGAATCCAACTGTGCATCCAGTTCCGCGTCCTGATCTGAGGAAGTATCGACAGATGGTTTATCCTATAGAGCAATGTCCAAGGAGACTTTCAGCCATTAAGAAGATGAACTATTTGGTAAATGGCAAGGTAGATTCCAACTCATAAAGACACACATCCGCGAAGGAAAATACTAAACTCTGAAGATATCTTCACATGAGTGAAGATATCAAATAAACCGCACAAAGGATAGTAAATGTAGAAAGTCCATATCTGGTGAAGATATCAAATAAACCATAGGCAAGCATTTTCAACCATGGCAAACTTTCATTTTTCTGAAGCATGAGAACATTAAAAAACATTAGACAAGGCAATAGTAACAGAGTAGAGAGCAGGAATGTTCACAATCCCAAGTCAATTATTCATTCCACCACTTCTTATTCTTAATGACAACTTAGATTTAGCTAAATATGTCCTTTCCTGATGGACAATTAAAGCAACATCTGAAGAATTAAAAAAATGAAACAAGCAAAAGATTTACAAGTAAGCTAATTCAAGTATGAGATGGCCCAAAAGGGTTGTAGAAAAATTCAGCACAACCCAATTCGATTGTGATAACCTACAGCTTGAGGCAAAGAGAATCCTTGTGGAACAGCAAAGCACTGGCTCAAACAGTACTTCTCCCACATATACTGACGCTTGTCAAGCTTTGACTGAACAATGTTCCGTATATATTCTACACCCTGCAAAAGGGAACTATCAAGTATCAATTGTTCAAAGGAGGAAAAGAAACATTTCAGAAAGAAAAAACAACAAAGAACGACCAGAATTCAGCATGTTACAATATACGAAGTAAGCCACAAACTCTGATGTGCTTACTGCGAATTGAAAATTAATATTGCAAAATAACACATCAAGCGAACCTTTTTTAGAGGTTCAAATCGGTCAGTACCCTCGACTTGCAGATTTTTTGCTGTTTCCCTACATATAAAGACAACATTCTTCAATAGATACTACTCCGTACCATATACAGAAGAAAATAGCACTGAGTGGAGACAGAGAGGAGAGCTCGTACTGCAGAAAGAACTCAAAAGCTTCATTTACAATGGTGTTCACGGAATCGATAACTTCATTGACGAATAGCTGCGGGTTTAGGTTGTAGGAATCAAAGATTTTCTCGCTCTCGCTGCCTTGCATTTTCGCGTGTTTTTGGTGTGATAAGTTTAACACCAATTCGAATTTTGAATTTTGAGGTACGCACTTAGAGTACTCCCGCCCTGAATCCCCGAACTTGAGGTTGGCTTACATTGGGTTTCAGCGACTTCCGAAATGGGTTTCAGACTTTCAGTCTATGACTTCAGTACCGACAACAGCGTCAAAGCCAGCGACGGGTCTGTTGTTGATGACGGGGAGTCGGCGGACCATAATTTTTTTACTCAGCTATGTGTACAACTCATTTTGCTGAAGACTCGGTTTGCGGACTTGTGACCCGTGTTGCACTGATACGTAGTTACCTGAATACGAGTGTACGGTGATAATGGCAATTTCAAAAATTATAGGATACAGAGTACAAGGTATATTTATAAATAATAAAAATAGAGGATATAATTTGCAAATATATATAATTCAGAGGTTCATAAATAAAATAATAATAGTACAAACAATTACCCATTATAATAAAGTTTCAAAGATTAGGCTAAAAAAAACTAGATGTTGATATTTCGATTTAGATTCAAATAATATTTTTTGTTCTTTATTTGCATTTACATCTAAGTCTTGTTTCAATTAAAGCTCATCAAGCGATAAAATGACAAATTATAGTATTCCATTATTTTCCATACTCCCAAAATCATCTTCATCAATCTTCTACATCTTGTGGTTGTTTGGGCGGCTACTAAATTTTCGTCATGTTGTGTATGAAGTGAGGGTTTTAGGGTTAGATACGTGTATCGGTTCACAGATACGGGTGATAGAGTAT